GAAGATATTGGCTTTCAAAAGGTATAAGCAGCTATGGTATTTATATTTCAAAGACTTCATGGTTCTTTCTCTGTCCTCAACCAGCTCCAGCCAGGTCTTTAGTGACTATCTTCTGGGAAAGAAGTGTTCTGCTCCTTTAACACTTCACCTCTTTAAATTCATGGAGTCTGTGGGTTGGGTATAGTTGTCTGCCAGCAGTGGATTGCTCAGAGACCAAACACCATCTTTCAGTAGGGGGATGGAAATAGGGCACAAGTTATTTCACAGATCATTCTGCATAGAAACCTCAATCTTTTAACAGTGAGTTAAAAGTTAACTGAGGAACTCTTCTGCTTTGAATAGAGATCACAGTGATCAGGTCATATCACCAAAAGCATTGTTTCTAACTATCTCGTAGGCAATACACATAACTGTTTCAGGAGGACTGGAGTCCCCAGGCAGCATTAGTTGCTTGGCTTGCTGATACCCTTCCCAGAATATGCAAAGGTGCTTGAGATCTCTTGGATGTGACCATCTCATTTAAGTTTTGCATGACTCCTGACTAGTAAACTGTGTAGAGTCTTCACATCAGACACGAGGAAGAGAAAGTACTTTAGTTCTTTTTGCTCTACTTTTTTTCCTTGTTTGCTTTTTGTCAGTTGATGTGTATCAAAACACACATTTGAACTATATAAACTCACTTGAAAACAAACACATAATTGAATTATAGTACAAATTGTCTACAGTTCATGTAATGTGTACTATTATATGGACCTCTCCAATACTTAATGCTACTCATCATGCTGATAATTTTTATTTGTGTTCAATGTATGTATGTTTTTATTCTGAATTGTCAAGTCTTTCTTTATGTGTTATATCAACTCTGGGGTTTTTTTTGAAAGTCAACAGAAGTCCTAAGCTAAAAAACATGTAGTGAACTCAGAGAACACCAAAGACAATGACAACCTAAGATGAGGAAGCAACTCTGTCACACCTTGACACAAAAACATGCAGAACTGAGAAACAGCACCAGGCAATCTTGTTTATATGATGCAAGGAAGAGCAAAAAGAATTGCTTATAGGAGATAGAGGGTCAAGTAAGTTACTCCTTACAACTCTCTTATCAGACAATTAAGAGAGGTATGGCATCATATTTGTGAAAACACAGGCTGAAGTCCATCTAACTCAGACATTTGACTGGAATATCTGACCTTTTCTGGACTTTATTCTTCTGTTACTTGTCATCATGAACTTTCTGACTGAAAGTAATGAGAACTGTGGAAAGCAAGCTACTGAACATGAAAAGCTAACGTGAGTCCTGATACTAAAAATAAACCCCAAAAAACCAAACCAAAACTAAAGCTTAGTCATGCACGGCACTTTTTAAGTTCACAAAACTTTTGATGGAGTTCAGAGCTCCAAACTGTCTTTGTATTTTTAAAGTTACAAAATTACAGTACCTTTGTTTAAACTGTGTATTACTGAATGCAGTTTTAAAGAAAGGGGAAATAATAATAAAAAAACCAAAACACATTTTGTATTAGATGTAATTAAGTTGGATCCCCATTAAAAAATAAGAATTTTTTTGTCCACTCCAGTGGCCCAAAAATGACAGGAATGATGCTTAAGTGACAAGGAGAAAATCCCCTTGGCAGAACAGATCCCTAGAAGGCATGTTTCCGAACATAGCTGAAGTGATCTTGGGTCAGTAACAACTATATGTCACTGCAACAAGTGTGAGAAGTAACTGCTGGCTCAGATCCAGAATTTGGAAACACAAGGATAGGTTTATAGCTCCCACAAGTCTCTCAAATAAGGCTGTGCCATAAGCGTGCTCAAGCCCTACTGAAGGATTTGCAGGTTCTGAGATACATGAACACCAGGTGGAATGTTAGAATAAAAAAAAAAAATAATTTACGTACATCAGGCATTTTTCTTCTCAAACCATGTCACAACTCTATACTACAAGTACAAAAAGCACGGAGAATTTCAACATAGAAATTTGTAGCCTGTTGGCTTACAGTACATCACATTCAACATAACATTCCTCCCATACGTACCTAAGATTTTACAAAAAACCCTGTCTCCTTTAAAGCTCCATGAGACATGTAAAGAGCCGTAAGTTCTTCTCCTGCAGTTGTTTTTAACTTCTGTAGCGTTTTTTTGTGTGTCAAACCAGTGGAAATGCTTTAAATTGCATCCTCATTTCTAATGCCCCAAATGGATTTTTAAAGCATCTGAACTGTCACAACAGAAGTCTGACAAATGTGGAATATCTCTGGCAAGAGACCACAGGCTTCCCCACAAGATATTTTTCCTCTGAGAAATACAGAGTTAATGGCAAGAAATAACATGGCTCTACTCCTTCCTCTTATTTCTCCAAGTCATATAAAACTGAGAGCACAATTGTATCATGTTTCTGTTCTATGAGAAAAAAGGGCAAATGCAATTATATTGGAATTATCCCAGACAAGAGAAAACCTGAACTACTAGAACTTCATGTTTCACAACAGAACTACAAAGCCAACCTCTTTTCCAGATACCATTAATTATATCTAAGAGACAAGTAGCCAGAGCAACTGAGCAATGAAATTTTTAAGGCAGGAAAATGAATTCACATTTATACAGGATCTGTTAAAACATGTATACCTGACAAATTACTTTGTTGACAACTTCATTGTTGAGCTTTTTATAAATAAGTAGTTGGGTAACAGGTATCAAATTCAGACATAAACGTTTTTTTACAAGGGCCAAAGAATCAAAATCAGCTGTTCAGACTATATTAATAAAAATTACATCAGATAAACTCATCAGAAGATGCGCCACCACAGAAACAGGACTACAGACTCCATCCATTTGTCAGTCCCTAGCTGTGCAAAGGCACTACATGACAATTATGTACCAAAAGGGAAGGCAGCATGGATGCAGCAGGAAGCAACTAGGCAGGGGGTATGTGATAAACTATATGTATGTCAGTAGGAAAACAATTCAATTAAAAAAAATAAATACACTCCTGATAAATGTTATTTAACATGCATGCTCACCTCCAGGTGTAACAAAAAATTGATGCCTTTTGCCCAAAGCCTGAGTGATACTAACATCAAGATTACTTTCACCCCTTTTCTCTCCATCTCATAACGAAGCTCCTTTGGGTCCACGAGAAGGCAGTTGGGGGATTAATCCCAACATGACTTGCACTGGCGAAATTAACTTTCTCGTTCCCAATATAAATGTTTAATCTATTTTGGAGGAAAGGTGCTGCTTTAGCTCATATTTTATGGCTGGACTGACTGAGATAGGGGGAGGTCAAACAGTTTGCCCAAAGTTGGAACAGACCTTAGAGCTCATTTTGGATGGAAGTGTGGGAACCCCCTGGCTGCCTATTATTGCTTCTACCCACTACAGAATACTGCCTTCTTGGTGCTTGTGATCAAGTTTTAACTACCAGCTGTTCTTCGATGAGTTCTCATGGCAAAGTGGGAGAAAAACATTGATAGCTCTCTGTTACATCAGCCAGGAAAGAATCAGAATTGAGCTCCCATGCTGAATCTTATGGGGCAAGTGGAACAGCCCAAATCATCAGAGCTTGTAGCTATCTGTCCTTGCTAAGTGCTAAAAAAAAAAAATAAATAAAATTACCAAGCAATAACATTTTGTTTCTAACTAAAGCCTTTGAGAATCCTGTATCATTTACAGACATTAACTAAGATCTACATTTCTTCTGCAGTCAAGCAAGCATAATTCATTGTGTTTTCAGAGACAGCTATTGAAAAGCTCACAGCCAAGGAGCTTTTACCAATTTATCTCTGGTGTCTAAACAAAACAGTTTCTGCATGGATGACAGAAGGCAAAGCAACCCGACTGTCTAACCACTCAATTCAGACAATGGAGGACAGGAAGATGTTCAGTATGTTAATGGGACATTTCTGGACTGGAGATATTTGAGCGATTTTTAGCCAGACTTGAAACCTGCCTATCCTAACACACAGGCCATTAGGAAACCATGGAGGTAAGCACTGGGAAGGGCAGGCCCAATATTGTAGAGTAGAATATGATTTGAATCAACAATTCGTCTGAAACTCAGGAATGAAAGTACTGCAGTGTATTTCTGTCTTGAGTGGACTGTGAATCTTATGATAGAAAAATTAAACATTTTCCTTCAACCTCAAAACAAAAGGAAACTAAAGGCTTCTTCTTCAATTACATCTCAAGAAACCAGTGTCCTGATAAAAAAAATTAAGGTTTTCTTAACTAGTGGAAGCTGAGATAAATTCATAGAAGAACAATCTTCAGTAATGCTGACAAGAATCAAGCATCACCACATAGTGTAATGAAATAGAACAATGCAGCTACTTTTTACTGCCACAATGCATGCAAACCACAGATCATATCGATGTCAAAGTACAAATGCTAATGACCTCAGGCACATCTTACACCCAATGTCTAAAGATAAAATGCAGTTTCATGTGATGCTGCGAGGATAACCAAACCACTTTTTCTTCCCGTTTAAACTGCATTTCAGAACAGCTTTGCTATTTTTTTTTTTTTTTTTCAAATTAGGATGACTTCAGAATTTAAATTTCACTCTAAAAGCAACACTGTGAATCATAGGGGCACTAATAGAAAAGATACATGCGTACACACGTTGCCTGAAACAACCTCAGCTTTGGTCTGCAGACACTGTCGTAATGCACAATAAAATCAGTCATGAGCAATAATCATTTACTGCTATAGATAAGGCAGGGGAAACAAACACTCCTTGTTTGTTTAATCAACAAAAAGTTGGCCTAAACGCGTTCATCTCACATTTAATTCTGAGACAATTTCCCTGACAGAAAGATCTCTGGGTTATATTATTGGATATGTTACGAGACAGTTGATATTTGGCCTTCACGCAAACTTGTTTAAGCAAGCAAACAGTGCTGTGAATTTTCAAAGGAAGCAACAGCTATGCTGCCCACATCCTCCCCCAACACTGAATCCAGACTGGGGCTTACTGTACAGAGCAAAACCACACTTACGTCCTGAGTACTGTTTTGGATTCAGAGGAATTCTGGCTTTCATCTTCTTCACAGCTTGAGGTCTCCTCCAGGTTTCCATATCTGAAAAATGAGATGGGCATTTAGAAGAACCTCCACTGAATAAAAGCAAAATCCCAAATGGCTAAATTCATATCCAATTACCATAAACAACTAAAAAGGGTTTCTAGCTCAAACTACAAATATGGAAACTAACAGTTGGACAAAATTAAGGAGCTTGAAGATTATTTCATTTAGGAGGAAAAAAATCCTAGAGACAGCCGGTATCTTCCAACCTAATTTGTTAATTTATATGAAGCATCCTGCACAAAGGAGGAATCAACCAAAACAATTTCTTTGCTCACAGCTCCGAGACCCTTTCTGCCCATTTTCACTCCATCCTTTCCCAGAGCAATATTCCAGTGTGCAATGATGCTGTAACACAACCACTTTCTCCAATACATCTGCTGTTTCTTTAGTATTTGGCATTCCTTCTAACCCCAAGTGTGATTTCACACAAAGTTTTCTAGGTGGCCAGTGCCCACTCGTGCCAAAACTACTGACACAGTTGTCACGAGTGGGAACGCCCCGTGGCGCTGTGAAAATGCCACTGAGAAAAAGGAAACCATGGGCACAACTCCAACAGCACAAAGCAAAATCTCTTACCTACACAGGCAGCACATGTGCCTTGAAGGCAGGATTATGGACTTCATTTTCAATGGGAGTGCCTATTGCTTCAGATATACAGCTCCATAAAGAATTTCATGGTTCCTTACAGGCAGCTTTAATGAAGGCGGACAATTACTCACAGTCCAGAATAAGGCACATTATACATTCTTTTCTCAACTAATTATGTCAGGCACCTGCAATTAATCTGAATAGTTAGGAGAACAAGTGCATCTTTAACTGTTTGTGCTGCAACATCCTAGTAACATCAGATAGAGAAAATACTGTGTGCTGTGGGTTTGTGTCCAGAAGGTTCATGTCAGGACTCTGACAAATTCATCCAAAATGTTTCAAAGGATAAAAAGAAGAGGTGGTAGTTTTATGATCCTCTAAAGTATTAGTCTAAGGCTTCATATGTAAGAATCCCAGATCTGTACAGAAAGCCAACTAGTGTAATTGAATTCAAGCTCACTCTCACCAGCAGATCTGCTAGATTGTAAATAACATGTTTTAGCATGACCATTCACCACCCTCATATCAGAATATCAATATATTCTGCCCTACCATGGCCCAATCTCAGAACTCCACAATACTTTAAAATAAGAGCTTAAGTTTCAACAATCTTATGACAAGGTCTTAACACTGGACAATTTCACTGTGGATGGGGAAACTGGGGCAGGGAGGGAGGTTTTGCATATATTCCAATGCACTGCAAAGTAAACCCAAACTAATGAAGGCAAACAAGTAACCCCTCTGATAGGAACAACATAGCCACAGCCGAAAGGAGGTCAGCTTGGGCTTACTTAGCCTTGAGAGTACTGCATTAAGACCACTTGCATTATCTGAAACAGCTCATTTAAAACCAGATCTTGCATCTCCAACTACGGTGCAGGTAGACATAACAAAAAATTATTTGCTCTAGTTGTTACCGCATATCTGTTACAAAGCTGAGAACAAAATCATGACTGCTTGACCCCAGTAGCTTAGTCTGACCAATAAACTGTCTCTCATTCAACCTACATTCCCAAGTCAGTGGTGAATCCCAGCATTTCATCTGTCCAGGGAAAAAAAAAAAAAGGCATAACACATGCATAAAAACTTGGAAACTTATGTTTTAAAGGGCCTAAACTCTTCTCAATTGTCCTGAAATAGTCCTGCTGGTCCTATAAGACAGCAGAAATATGATAGTAGGTTTTAAGGACTTCTTAAAACAGAAAGGGTCCTTAAGAGGTACATACAGGATAACCTATTTTGCCATGCCATTTCACAGAGCTAATCCAAACATCTAAAGAAAAATATGCTTAGCTAAACTGACAATGGGGTAAGAATACACTTCTGGACATGCTGAATATAACACCTCAATCCCTCTGTGGTCACAGTGAATCATACCAGGAGCATTCAGAGACAAACTACTGCTTGATACAAGAATGGCTGTCAATCGTGTTCCGAAATTTTTTAGTGCATCAATGCCCTCTGTGCTTTCTCCTATATTCTCCCAAGCAATTTCACACCCTGCCTGTGGGTTTTTTTCTTGCAATCAGCGCTACTGAAGCTGTAAAATTGAATAGATACCTTCTTTCTGACTCTCAGCTATACCCGAAGTCACCACTTAATGCTACCTGGCCTCTCTCAGCTCTCAGTCATACCCTAAACGCTCTTTACTAGTGTTTGCAATTCAAAGTGAATGCAATTAACTATTTGAGATACTTCCCACCGCTTTACTGCAAGGAAGGAATATATCAGAGGAGCCTTAAAAACAATACTTCCAACACTTTGCTAAACTGAAGTATAAAGTTTAACCTATTTTTATTAGATTTAACTGTATTGGTATCAACATTTACTCTTGCAGACCTGTAGACTGTCCTGCATTCCCAAATATTGTAATACTGGGTAACATCTTACCAAGAAGATACAAAAAGAGCATAAGGGGGATATTTAGACAACTATGCTGACAACTCAGTGGAGATTGCCCAGGACAGAATTAAGACATGCTGGTGATATAATGTTCATTACATGCTATGATGGCTGCTCCTGTCCTGTTGCTAAAGAGAGAGAATTTCACTCTCCACTGCAATCTGCTAGGTAAGATGACTAAAATATATATTAGCCAATAGACAAAAGACAGTTTTCCCCCTGCTGGGAGAAATATGCAAAGAAAGCTTCAGTTTTTGAATAACAATTAAATTTTTATATTCATTTTCCAAAACTTGCCATTAACTCTTCAAGCAAAATTTACCGAGATGACTCACAGTGTCATTGTCCTAGTATTGTATGAAATATAAAATATGTATTTGCAGAACATTAGGCATTTGTATTTAAATCCCCCTAGAGAAATACGTGATGATTTTTATAATCTAAATCCGTAACACAGTAATAAAGAGCAGGCGATTTTCTGTACAAACTGGAGAAATATATAATGCTTCATTATATTGCCAGATGTAAACCTCTGCCTATCTCTCAATGCAAGAGCTCTGCATGAACAACAGGTCATTAAATACGGGTTAGGAGGAGTTAATGATACATCTGATGTAAAGAACAGCATTTCTGCAGACTTCCACTGCTCTGTTCTCACCAGCTCCTGGACAAAGAGCCATTCACTACCCAGTCTTGTATGAATGCTTTGCATACAAAAAGAGACATGAGAAACAAAAGGATCCTGTAAGCCCACAGAACTTTTCAGCCTTGCTTGGCGTTTGGAAAGTTATAGACTCCACTCAAAGGGACTGACTAAGCAAATGAGACCTGAATGTAATGGGTAGTACTGAATATTTAAATACTGAAAAATAGAGTAGAAAATGCACCCCTGCATCTCTGTTAAGAAGGAAAGGGAAGAGGGAGGAAAACACTCTTTGAATGACTTGGAAATAACAAGGAAAGGTAGTTCTCTGCAAAAGCTGAAAACAAAACCCTAAATAAAGTTGGTAAGTATCAAAACAAATGACTGGAAACCCAGATACTCAGTAAGAATTGTAAGATGTTTTGAACTATACACACATAGAATCACAGAAATTAAGTTGCTACTTCAGTTGAGTAGACAAACCACCTGGTATACAGGAAAAAACAGAGGAAAGAATAGATGCTGCAGCAATAACAGTGAGCCAAATGCTATATAAAGCTACTGTTCTAAAAGCGTAGTCTGCTACGAAGGACCCATTCTTTCAATATCCCCTCTCTGCCTTTATTTTTGTCTCCATTTACCCTCTATCGAACCATCCTCCAGCAGAAGAAACTAAATGAAAATTTAAAACTAACCTGCTATTTGCTATCATTATCCAGCTCTGGCTCTCCCGTCAAACAGTATCCATTCCCTCCTCTGTAAACCCCTTGAGATAGGGACCGGTTGCTCTTTATATGTGACTGTGCCAAGCACAGTGTGGCCCTGCTTTTAGGTGTTGTTGTAAGGAATATGATTACCAGGAATATGATTACCAGAATAAAATAAAATACGTAAGAGAGGAATTTGTTCTCGAATTTAGGTGTTCTGCTCTCATCTGGACACCTAAATATCTCTGGTTTCCATCACACTTGTCAGCATTTAATTCCCCAGAGCACCCAGTGACACTGGGGATACCGAAGGATCTCTGCAGAGGCATCATGCTGTATCCCTACATCCAGGGTCAGGAGGACCTGGTTTCCTTTTCCTCTCTCCAGGAACTTCCATTGAGGGTTTTAACGTCAAAATGCCAATGAGAATTTTTTCTTTTAAATCTCCCTACCCACTTCTACCAAACAAAGAGAAAATATCAGAACGTATAGTGTTAAAGGCTTGGCATGTTTTCAAAGCTGTCTGCTGCATTTAGATGCCAAACTTCCATGAATACTAAAGGGATGCGGATATCCACTTAGTCTTAAATAGCTTTGAAAACACAAGTCATCCCCCTCACTTTTCAACATACCAGTTTATGCTCAAGATTTTGTTTAGTTTGACTTCTACGCTACACTGAAAGGAAACCTTTACAGGCTGAATCCAGCCAAAAGAATGAAGAGGGCTCCAGTCTCAAATTTAATAAAAATCAAAAGCTTAATTTGAAGTCCCGGAGAGGAAAAAAACCAACCCCACAACAACCCATAAAACAACACACCCCTCAGATTCATTCAGTCTCCAAGAAGTGTTAAAAGTTACTTTGAGAGCAAATAGCACATCTCTGATTTTTACTTAAGACAGAAGTTATCAAAGGGCCCAATTTAAAGTCCATTACAATAAGTAGCATAGCACTAAAAATCCAGTAAACATGTTCTGACTGAAACAAGGGGAATTGCATCGATCTTAAAATATTCTGAATTGTACAATAACAATTTCTACCTTTTCATATGCCTTGTATGATAATTTGTGTGACTCCACTCAGTGCACTGGATGTATCGGAGGGCAGAAACGGCCTTTAGAAACATTGCTCTCTGCCCCGTTGGCTTGTGCGTTT